GGCCAAGCTGAATCAAAAATCAAAGTTGAGATATTGCTTCCAAAATACAGTTTTATACTGTTTTATGTATTTCCAACTATATTCTTGTCAGGTATATTTTACTCTGTCTTAATCTCTGTAAAATTCATTGTAGGTATTCAAAATAATCAGCAACTCAGCATATCTTTGATTTTAATAAAATTAAAGACCAGATAGCAAAAGTACACATGCATTTTTCTTTTTGCATATCACTTTCTAAAATATACATTGTACAGTTTTCCAAGGTGAAATGTTCCTCCCAATAAGATCATGTCTTTAACCCATTCCCTGTCACAACTTTTGCCTGGAAAAGTTTCTCTCTGAATCTGTTTTATCTATTCTGGTAAATTCGCACAATTCCCATTTATTCTGAATACTTTGAAATGACAAGGAATAAAAGAGTAACATAGGCCATAAAGCCTTTTTCTGTATGGAATTGAATTGCTGCTTTTCACAATAAATGAATTAAATTGAACTTAAATTTACAACTCAGTCAATACATCTACAAATAAAGAAGTATTTTTTATAATTTGTTACATAGAACAGCTGTTATTCCACATTATCACAAGCAAGTATAAAGAACTCTTAAGCATGAATCCATTTCTTTTTGATAGATGTGATGAATTAGGATGTTGTTCTTGTTCTACTAGGAAGGCAGGCTTCCTAGTAAAGGTTGTAAGGAAACCTACAGGCTTTAAGCAAAAGGCAGTGAACAAACTGCCATAGCTTCCAAACAGCATTGCTTCACACTTCCTCCAAATGTTTCCTGTCCACTGCTTCTGTCAAATACATTTTGGCTGTGCTGGGCTGCAAGTATGCACCATAATATAGGTGGAAATAAATGTTCTATTGGCAGGCTACCCATATTATCCTAATCCCATTATCTAATCCTCCTGATTTAATTCTATCAATATCCTCTACATTTCTATAGGCAGAACAAAAGCAGTTTAAGCACAATCACAAAGGCATCTGCTACAGGTATTATCAATTTGAAATCATACAATACTGGGAAATAGAATAATATAGTTTTGCTGGTTTCTATTTGATATTACAAAATCTGAACCAGCGCCAATTTAATCTGGAAAAAAGAGCCAATATCCTAATTGTACCAGTTCTACCACTAACACTGCAGACAAATTACTGTCTGGAACAAATACAGAAGACAACCAAGGTATTAAACACTAAAAGAAAATGTGTTATATATTTCCATCAGGCACTTAGGTGGACAAATGTGAAAAAGTATATAAAACTAAATATGATAGAAACACATATGTTGTCAAGACAATAGTAGTTTTAGAATGATCCTGATATTACATTTCATATGATCTCTGAAAAGTTTATATAATTTGTTCAGTGAAGAAAATAAGTGTGTTAAAGGGTTTCATTCAGACAATAGACTGTTTTTGAAATATTATCGCAAATTAAGTAACTCGTGCTTTCATTTTCTATGGATTTTATTCTCTCCATTGTGATATGGGAGAACAAATTAATAAATGCAGTTAATATGAGAAAAAAACTATTTTCTGTCTAAAGAATTAAGAAGCAAAATGATAGTTTGATAAAATTGTATTTGTAGCTGTTCTGCTAATAAATAATTTTTCTACAACACCAGCAAGAAGGTATCTGTTCAGTCCATGTTTATACTATAGTTTATACTCTATTTCAATTATAAAATGTTTTTCTTAGTATAGTGAAGATCTGAAGTGAACAGCTTTGCACAGGATGTTCAAATTCAAGACCTTAAGTCTGTTAAGTAAATGTCAGATTCTATTTCTCAGAAAGGCAAGATATCTATTACATATATTTAAAGAATATCTTTGAAAGACATTCCTAAATTTATCAGGTGACTTGCCACATTTATGGCTTTGATGTTGCTTTCTGTAATTTTTAACATTTCAATGTTCCAAAAATAACTTAGCATAATATAATTGTTCCTGTTGAATTTGCCATAATTGATCTAACGTAAAAGAAGTTATGCAAGAGATTTGGTGGGAACTTTAACATTAACGTGTTTCTGTTTTGCGTGCCTAAAAGTTGTTATTCAAGAGTTTTAAATGAAGTAATCCTGATACTCTTCCTTTCTAAGCTAGCACGTGCCTAAATTAGTTCTCCATTTTGTGGTGGCCCTCTGAGAGCAATCCCTATTGAGAAATGAACAAAGGCCATGACCTCTGGGTCAGAGTGTAATGCAGGAAGCCTGACCTCCTCTTTGTTCAGATCAGCACTGTTTACTTTGCCTAAGTAAAGATCACCAATACATTAACTAAAGAGGATTAAAAGGGTCATATCTCCAGGGATATAGTTCAGGCAAGTGACAGCTCTCCTTAACCACCTAAATCATTTGACTTTTTGAACCCCCCCCCCCCAGTGGTTTGTGAAACAGGGAGTGATCGAAATATTTTTAAAGTATTTAATTTTTTGTGATCTGCAATTCTTAGTATATTTTAGTACAATTTATTTTCCTTATTCTTCAAAATAAAATAAAAACAAAAAATAGAGCAACTTGCAATAGATTTGTTGTTCTAACCCAACAATGGTATTATATTAGAAATATAACTAGTTTTAATGAAAAGGTATGAATGAATCACTGTAAAGAATCACTGGAAATGTTGGTTACACATCTAGTATTCAGTGGTCTTAGCATGAATGTACAATTGATAATATAATTCATCTGGTAATATGAAAGAAATCCTTTAGAGCCCAAATCCATAACTTTATTTGCACATGGTTAATGTAACTTTTTTTAATGGAACAGCCTAGGATTGGAATGCTCAACAAGGCTTGAGCTTGTTGAGATTTTCTGAGCTCCACTTGGAAGCTCAGTCTCCCTCATCCACATATTCAAATGTTAGCTCTTTCTTCTTGTTCTGATGAGAAAACTGCTTATTTGAGTGTGCATTTTTAAAGTGTGCATCCAAATTCACACTTTTCACCTACTGACTAAAGCATGAACATGCCTGTGTATTTTAAAAAGCAGATTTTCCAAACCTACACAGTTCATATTATTAGGAAGAAATGGATCCACCTAATAGTAGCATCTGTGGTGACTTGACACCTGTAGGCACCCTGGATATAGTGATGCCAACTGGAGTAAAGAAAAAAAAAAAAACCCAGTCTCCTCAGTTCACAAGTGCTCTTGATCCTTTGGAAATGACTGGCCAAACATCCCAATGGGTACTCTTTTGTTGGGTTTCTTGCAGCACTCTTGTGTCCTCAGGAGAATACAGCTTAGGTTACAGGCTTTGTTTAGTACATTGTGTGCAACCTAGTATTTAAATCAACATTATTAGTGTGACTAATAATATGGCATGTCCTTTGTGAGCCTCTCCCCTTTACAACCAAAACAAATAGTCTATCTTTTGGTAAAAACAGGGTAAAAGATTTATTAAGTACTCAGGCAAAAGTGTGCAAAATGGAAAAAAATGTTAGTCACAAAGTAGTAAGTGATTTAAAGTGGCAAAGAAAACAGAAAAGTCACCTCCCTGAGCTAAGTTCCCTGCCTGATTCTTTGGAAGGCCCTTGGTCTCTGTGGTGCAGGTCCTCTCTTTGCTACATCAAGCCCTTGACCTTGGCACATCTGTACCAACGAAAAGAGTGTGAATCACCTTTCTCAGTATGGGATATCTCAAGATCCTCCCTTCTTGCTGCCTGGAATCCCCCCAAAAAACATCATGTATTTTAATTTGTGTGATTCTCTACCCACTGCTCATGTTCAGCCGAGAGACGGGTTCTCAAAAACTCCCCACTGCTTGGCACCTGGGCAATTTATGAGTTCATTGGTTTTGCAAGGGGCATTGGTTTGACTCAGTCTTGCAAGGGGCTCAGCCAGTGCATTTGCATTTCAATGCCAACATCTAGCTTGGTTGCAAAATGGAGGAATCTTCTTCTTCAACCTGAGTAAGGAAAAGTTAGTATGGTCTGGCCACGTGGATACTAGGTTTAACCAGGCTAACCATAACAGCATCCAACTCATATTTTACCATCTTGTCATCAAAAGTATGATCAAACGCTTCGCTGAAATCAAGATTACTATGTCCACAGTGTTCCCAAAATCAAACTTTATCAGGAGGGAGGGAGGGAGGGCTGGTTTAGCATGGCTTATACCTGATAAACCCATGTTGACTGATAGTAATTAATGCACGATTTGTGAGATTCTCACAGAATCACATCTGATACTGACATCAGGCAGGCTAGTCTTTAGTTTCATGGCTTTATCTTCTTTCCATTTTTTGAATACAACTTTTGCCCATCTCCTGTTCGTAGCGCTTTACCCATTCTCCAGGAATTCTCAAATATTACAATCAGTGGCCTCAAATTAATATCTGCAAGTTCCTTTAGCACCTGGGAATGCAATTCATCTGGTCAAGGAGACCCAAATTAATTTAAGGAACCTAGGTGTTTTCAGACTAAATCCTTACTATCCCAGGCTGCATAAGACTCCTTCTATCAGAGAGGCTCACCTAGTACATTGTGGATTTTTTTTGACTTGTCTTATTTTTCCACTTCAGTCTTTCAGTTTCTGCTGTTATATGTTACAGTATTTCAAATCTCTTCCCCTGTTGCTGGAATTCATTTTGGTTTTTATTTTTCATTTGGGTTATACTGTAGTCGTTTTGTTTTTATACTCTTGTTTTATCATGTCAAATTGTATGGTTTAAATTATTGTGAACTGCCCAGAGAATTTTGACGTTTAGGAAATAAAGAAAATAAATAAACAAATAAAATGCACATTAATCATATCTGGAGCAAATTAGACTGAGCAAATAAGAAACTGAGCAGTTCCACCTTCTCTCCATATACCTATATTTGGATCCAGCCTCATACGTAAATATCTCTACATGAATGTATTAATGAAGAGGGAGTGGTAACAGGGGGACCTTCTTAGGAGGGGAATAGGAGGCGTGTATTAATAATAAACCAATGGAAATGTAAAATACATGGCTATAATTCACATCAGCCTTTCCCACCCTGATTCCTTCCAGATGTTATTCATCACAACTCCTAGTGGAGATGGTGTGCCTGATGGTTCTACATGGACTCAAGGTTTGTTTAGCATACACACTTAGAGCCTTCAATGGTCAAGCTCCCTCTCTGTGGCATTGCCTGCCAGTTGATGTCAAGCAGACATCAACACCGATTTGCTTTTTGCATCTGCTAAATACATTTTTATTTGAACAAGTTTTATGAATGACCAGCCCTAGTTTTGTTGGTATAAATTTAATTTAAATATTTTATTCATTCGCATTTCAGCTCTTTCTGTACAGTTCACCCACCAGGAATATTTTCTAGATATAAGGCAATTGATAAAATTTTGCAAACCAAAAAGAAAAACACTCATCATTGCTGTCCATTAGCCATCCTTATAAAAAGTGTAGTTCAAAACAACTGAAGGATACCTGTCTGGAGAAGCTGGACAGTGTGCATGAATTATTTCTACTTCTCCCTCAGATAGCCTATGTTTCCAATCCATGTGCAACATGGAAGGTCTAATGGCACACAGATCATAAGCATGGGAGAGGGTCTAATGGGGGAAGGGGGCACCTCTGTACCTATAACGGAATGGATGATTGCATGATGAATGCATGATGACTGGATCATGCCCTGCACCTCTGAATAACCAAGTATTTGCTATTTTATATTACTTCATAGATATGTTGGAAATTAAGACAAAATATTTGGAGATACCCACTGAAGTTCCTAAATAAATACAATTCCATTCTCTTGAGACATCTAATTGAGAGCAGAACAAATGCATAAAATAACATAATGAAAGGAATCACTGGCCCTCCAATTGGCAAAAACCTAAAGGAAGTGACCAGATTAGTGGAGCATATTTTATTTTCTTATGTGTTTTGTGTAATGGTTGTTAGTTACCATTTCACATTTTCCTATGTTGTAGAGAAAACTAGCATGATGACCATGACATCTTTTCCCAATTCAGGGAAGTATTAGGATTCACACTGCTGTCACAGAGAGTAATTATAGCCACACACATTTCTAGAATATTGCACATAATGTATTCAATTTTGAGTTCCTGAAAATGTCCAGTTAAATGAAGATCAGTGGTGTAGTGGTTAAGGGCACTGGACTGTGACTCAGGGGACTCTAGTCCCTGCTCAGCCATGATATCCTGATGAGCAAACTTGCTAAAAGTAGGCTAGAAGGAACAACTATCAGGTGAATCCACAGTTGGGTCCAGAATTGGACTCAAAGAATGCTCATCAATGGCACCTTCTCAAATTGGGAAGGAGGCAACAACTGGGATACCACAGGGTTCAAGTCCTGAGCCCAGTGCTTTTCAATGTTTTTACTAATGATGTGGATGAGGAAGTACAGGTAACGATTATCTGATCTACAGATGACACAAAGCTGGGTGGGATATCTAAAAGTCTGGAAGGCAGAAAGAAGATTCAAGGTGATGTTAATTGGCTGCAACACTGGGCTGGAAACAACAGAATGAAATTCAGTTGGGACAAAGGTCAAGTTTGGCACCCAGGAAAAAGAAACTAAATGCATCATTACAAGATGTGGACTACTTCGCTCCACAATACTGTGAGAAGGAACTCAGAATTGTTGTAGATCACAAGATGAATATGAGTCAACAATTTGATGTGGTCAAATGCTATTTTAGTATCACTTCCAAAGCCTATGAAGTACTAGTTCCCCTCTACTGGTTAGGCCTCATCCATTGTAGGGTGATGCTAAGGCAGGACTGTGCTGACTGTGTTTTCTCAACAATTTGTGCTGGTGGGTACGCGGTTTTGAGCGGGGGGGGGGTTATAGCCATATTTAATTATTTGACATTATGTATTATAGTATTAAGTAATTTTGTTTTGATTTTGTATTTTTTGTTGCTAATATTTTATATTTGTATCTGAACTTGTACTTGCTCTGATTATACTATTGTATTTATACCAATTTTGCATTTTTGCCTTACTTTAAATTCTTTAATTATATTGTTGTATTTGTACTGAATTTGTATTTTTTGCCTTGCTGTAAGCTGCTCAGAATGCTTACAAACGTAATCGATCAATAAATCAATCAATATAATCAATCAACATTCTGGGGGGCTGTATCCAGTTCTGGGCACCACAGTTTGAGAAAGAGGCAGACAAGCTTGAAAGAACTCAGAGGAGAGCAACAGGGACTAGAAACAAGGCCCAGTAAGGAAAGATTGAGAGAACCCATGTTTAGCCCAGAGAAGAGAAGACTGAGGGGAGATATGATGGCACTCTACAAGTACTTGAAAGGCTGTCACAATGAGGGAGGACAAGACCTCTTCTTTATCATCCCAAAGTCTAGGACATGAAATAATGGGCTCACAGGAATCCAGATTCCAGCTAGATACCAGGAAAAATTTCCTGACTGAAAGAGCAGTATGACAATGGAATCAATTACCTAGGGAGATTACAGGATTACAACTGATCCCTAAGTTGGTTTTTAAAACTTTTTGAACATTTGGTTGTTATTTGGAGGCTGTATGGTCCCCTGTCACACCATCTTTCATCATTCATCTAGCCCAGGGGTCCAGTTGGGCGCCAGTTGAAAGGCCGCGGCTACATGCGTGGGCAGGTGAGGTGGGGGTGGCTGGGAGCACGGGCCGGTGAGGTGCCATTGGGCGTGCGTGAGGCAGCATTGGGCACACACGGCGATAGCTTGTTCGCTCAGAGACCATCTCTGATCTAGTGAGCCACCACCTCCCCACACTGCGAGGCAGCGACACGTGCACACCTATGGGAGGCAGGCAGCGGCTTGCTCGCTCGGAGACCATCTCCGATCGAGCAAGCCACCACCTCCCCCTCCACAGACGTGCATACAGGAGGCAGGTGGCGGTGCTTTGCTCGCTCGGAGACCATCTCCGGTCGAGTGAGCCACCATCTCCCCACCTGTGCTGCAAGCGCAGGCGGGCAGCGAACAGTGGCGTGGGCCAGATGGATGGCCATGGTGGGCTGGATCCGTCCTGTGGGCCATAGTTTGAGGACCCATGATCTAGCCTCTTAAAGCAAACAGTGCAAAAATGAAAGACGGTGAGCTTCTCCATTCAAAACAGTGCCACACCCACTGTCCTTTTTAACAACATGTATTTATCTGATTGTTTAAGGCTATGCATTCCTCTCCCATGCTGGAAAACAGATACACCCTGAATGTAATTTAAGTGCAGTCACCCCATCTTGGATGAGCACCAAAACATAATGAGGGAGTTTGACAGTACCAGAGAAGCCAAGAGCGATATTGTCAGGAGGCCAGATTCTCTCACTAGTCTTATCTCTTAGCAGGGCCACCTATGGTGGAAAGGTCAAAGCTAAGACACCAGACTAAGATCCATCCACACTCTTCAGCTAACATTCAAATCATCAGAAAAGAATGGACAGAAGAATTCAGTATTGTGAAAGAATTTTGTGTAGAAGTCAGAAATGAAGCAAGAGAATAAGTCATCGAATTCTATGAAGCCAACCACCTGTTTATTGCAAATACATACTTAAGGCAACCAAGCATACAACTGTATACATGGACATCCCCAGATGGCCAATCTAGAAATTAAACAGACTAAGTAATTGGAAGTACAAGATAGAGAAATTATATTCTCACTCCCAAAACAAGACTAGGACCCTATTGTGTTAGTGATAATGAACTATTAATATGACAAATCAGAGTACAGTAAAAGGGTTTATTAACAGGAATGCCATGCCAAAATACCATTTAAATAATGTTGGGGAATTTAAAGTTTTTGGTGGACTTTAAAAAACAGATTTGCATTATTCAATTGACTGTGAACCCTAAGAACTGGACTGAAACCAGAGACATTATTTGCAGGTCCTGTGCAAATAAAAGAGCCCAGCTAAGAGGAAAAACAAACTTATTCCAGAAGATTCAAGAAATCAAAGGAAAATTCAAACCTAGACTAAGAATGCTGGAAAATTAACAAGATAACTTACTGTCTGACCAGGAGAAGGTAGATACAATGTGTACCTTGGCTCACAAACTTAATCTGTTCTGGCCCCTTCAAATGTGGTTCTGAGCCAATTTTTGGTCATGAGCCAAGTCAAATTTCCCCATAAGGTTCAACGTAAATAAGGTAATCCATTCTGTAACTATTTTTTTTAATCAGAAAAATTTGAAACAAAGTGACAAAGAACAACAAAGTAACAAAGTACTGTACAGTACAGTGGAGAACACTAAGCTAGGTGGGGGGGAGGTTCTTGTTTTGAGGGAGAGTACCCCTCCATAAGGACATTGGGGAGATCTCTTTCAGGGGTTTCCTCTCTTCTTTGTCTCTTAGCTGCAGGGTCAATTTTGGTGAAAAATCTGTCCATAGTCACTTGTTTTTTGTATAGTCACTTGGAGGTGGGATGGGGTGGGGTGGGGAGATGGCTGAGATTGCACCCATCTTTCCTGCAGGAGCGCACCTGTCGTAATGCATGTCTTCCCTGCATGAATGCAACTGTGAGTGTGGCCATTTCCCCACTCGGGGGGGTGGGGGAGATGGCAGCGATCTTGGTCGCCCTCCAATGAGGAGTTCGTGACCCAAGTCAAAATTTTCATGACATTTTTGTTTGCGACCTGATTTGGTCGTGAACCAAGGCGTCCGTGAGCCGAAGTACCACTGTATGTAAGAACTATAAAGAAGAGATGAAAGAATGACAGGGTTTTCCTTCAAAGGGAAATTCTATAAGGAAGAACTTGCAATATTAGAACGTGAAGTGAAAGCTGCTCTGAAAGCGCTTGGAAGAAATAAAGTAACTGGAATAGACAGGGTACAAATAGAACTGTTCCAAACTGCAGAGGCTGAATTGATCTGAAAGCTAAAAAGAATATGCCAACAAATATGGAAAACTAAACAATGACCCACAGACTGGAAACTTTCAATAAGAAAAGAAATGCTAAGGAATGCAGCAACTACAAGTTCATTGCACTGATTTCCCAAGTAAGCAAAGTGATCTCAAGGTGTTGCAACAAAGAATATTGTTTGGTGTAAGAAATGCCTGATGTCCAACCTAGATAGAAACACTCAAAATTATATTGCAAATATACATTGACTACTAGAGAGCACAAAGGAACGACAGAAGATTACCATCTATGCTTTATAGACTACAGCAAAGCCTTTGGTAGTATGAATCACAAAAAGATCTAGATGGTTCTGAAAGAAATGGGTATGCAGAAGATGATCATCCTGATGCAGAACTTGTGGACAGGAAGCTACAGTAGGATAAAGTAATATAATACATGGATACACAGGATTATTTCCTACATACAAAAGTTTCAGACAAGGGTGTATTTTATCTCCCAATCTGTTCAGTCTACACACAGATCATATTATAAGGAAAGCTGGGTTGGGATCTGAGAAAGAATCTGATGGAGGATACCTCAATAATTTAAGATATACAGATGATACCATACTACTAGCAGAAAGCAGGGATAAACTAAAATGGCTCCTGATGAAAGTGAAAGATATAGTAAAAGCAGGACTGCAGATGAACATTAACAAAAATTATAATGAAGAGAATTACAGTATTTTAACGTCAAGAATGAAGTAATTGAAATTGTGAAAGATTTTGAATAGTTTGGCTTAATTATCAATTCATATGGATACCTGCAACCAAGAAATTAGAAGACTGAGTCTTGGAAGGTCACCAGTGAAGAAGCTAGAAAACAAGTGCAAGGACATTTCACTGGAGAGCAAAGCCAAGATCAACCACACCACTCTATCCCCAATTACTATATATGATGTAAAAGCCAGATAGGGATGCATTTGAAATATGGCACTTGAGGAGAGCTTTGTGACTACCTTGGACTGAAAGACAAACAAGTGAGTCCTATATCAAATCAAGCCAGAGATTTCCCTAAAAGCAAAAATGATGAACTGAACCTGTCATATTTCAGGCACATCATAAGAAGACAAGACTAACCTGGAGAATACAATCGTGTTAGGGAAATTTGAAGGTAGGAGATGAAGAGGAACACCATACATGCGAGATGGTTTCTAATGTTTGAAAACTGCCCAGAGAGCCCTTTAGGCCAGTGGTTTTCAACCTTTCCACAGCTGAGGACTACTGAAAACAGGAAAACCACCTCAGGGACCGCTGAGGCAGAAACCAAAATCACCATACACATAATACAGTATTCTGTTTATTAGTTTCCAAACACAATACCAAAAAGAAAAAAGAAAATGTTCCAAAAGAATGAGAAACTGAACGACAAAAATGCCAACAAAGGAACAAAATACCAAAATCGGCATGGCAGGGCTCCCAGTTGGCTCCCGCTGAGCTGTCTCTCCTCCCCGCTCTCCCCTGGAGGCACCATTGCACCCCCCGTGAACATTTTGCACCCTGAAAAAGAGGTGGTAGAGCACCGCCAGCCCCCACACTGGTCGGATCTGCAGGAAATCTCCTGTAGATCAGTGCCAGTCCCTGGACCGGTGGTTGAATGCCAATGCTTTAGGCTATGAGGCGGTATATAAATGCAATAAATAAAGGAAGAGTCCTGACTGTGAACAAGAGTTGACCAAGGCTGACAGGACAGGGCATTTTGGAGAGTGTTCATTTATAGGGTCACGATAAATTTAGGGATGACTTGATGGTGCATAAATACAACAAGCTTAATCACATCAAGTTATTCCCTTTGAACAAGGTTAGGAACTGGGTAATAAAGCAATCCCAGAAATGAGCATGAACAATAGTTTCTGAAATAGGACAGGTTACAACAATGCCTTTTTGTAAGCAATGCTGACTTGGTTCATTCTGGAAATATATGTTTGTTTCATGATCCACTAGCTTCCTGTTGTACTAATTGTGAGTCCTGCCACTGGATTTGAGCTTTTTAAAAATGTAACTTGATCAATCTTACCAACAGTATTAATAGCATTCTAATTTATCATTATTGTTATTGTTACAAGTATGTAAACAGCTGGAGTATTAGGTGAATTAAAAATAGTTGGAACATTGGATGAATAAAGATAATATGCATTGTATCAAAAACAGTTCATTTCCCTCCATGGGATTTATTTTCAAATGTGCTCAGCCTCAGTCCTACAGAATGAACTATCAGTAATCTGATTCATTGATTGGTCAATCCAGCTGAAAGGATCATTTTAATCACCTAGCCATGTTTTGTTGTTGTTAGCCATGAAGTGGTGTCCGACCCATCGCGACCCCATGGACAACATTCCTCCATGCTCTCCTGTCTTCCACTGTCCCCTGGAGTCCACTTAAGTTCATGCCAACTGCTTCAGTGACTCCATCTAGCCACCTTACTCTCTGCCGTCCCCTTCTTCTTTTGCCATCTATTGTTCCCAGCATTAGGCTCTTCTCCACGGAGTCCTTCCTTCTCTTTAGGTGGCCAAAGTACTTGAGTTTCATCTTCAGGATTTGGCCTTCTAAAGAGCACTCAGAGTTGATCTCCTCTAGGACTGACCAGTTTGATCACCTTGCAGTCCAAGGGACTTGCAGGAGTCTCCTCCAGCACCACAACTCAAAGGCCTCAGTTCTTCGGCACTCAGGCTTCCTTATGGTCCAGCTTTCCTTATGGTCCAGCTTTCACATTGCAACTGGGAAAACCATAGCCTTGGCTATACACACTTTTGCTGGCAGGGTGATATCTCTGCTTTTTAGTATGCTGTCCAGATTTGCCATAGCTTTCCTCCCCAGGAGCAAGTGTCTTTTAATTTCTTGGCTGCAGTCCCCGTCTGAGGTGATCTTGGAGCGCAGGAAAATAAAATCTGTCACTACCTCCATTTCTTCCCCATTTATTTGTCAGGAAGTGATAGGACCGGATGCCATGATCTTAGTATTCTTAATGTTGAGTTTCAAGCCAACTTTTGCACTCTCCTCCTTCACCCGCATCAAGAGGCTCTTTAGTTCCTCTTCACTTTCCACCATTACAGTGGTACCATCTGCATATCTGAGGTTGTTGATATTTCTCCCAGCAATCTTAATTCCAACGGGTGATTCATCTAGCCCTGCCTTTCTCATGATGTGCTCTGCATATATGTTCAAACGACAGGGCGACAGTATACAGCCTTGCCAAACTCCTTTCTCAATTTTGAACCAATCAGTGGTTCCGTGTCCAGTTCTTACTGTTGCTTCTTGACCTGCATTTAGGTTTCTCAAGAGACAAATAAGATGGTCTGGTATTCCCCTCTCTTTAAGAACTTGCCACAATTTGTTGTGATCCACACAATCAAAGGCTTTAGCATTGTCAATGAAGCAGAAGATGTTTTTCTGGAACTCCTGAGCTTTCTCCATGATCCAGCGTATGTTGGCAATTTGATCTCTAGTTCTTCTCCCTCTTTGAAACCCTGCCTGTACTTCTGGTAGTTCTCGGTCCACATACTGCTGGAGCCTAGCATGTAGGATTTTGAGCATAACTTTGCTAGCATGTGAAATGAGTGAAATGGTGTGGTAGTTTGAACATTCTTTGGCATTGCCCATCTTTGGGACAGGAATGTAAACTGACCTTTTCCAATCCTGTGGCCAGTGTTGAGTTTTCCAAATTGCTGGCATACTGAGTGTAGCACTTCTACTGCATCGTCTTTTAAGATTTTGAATAGCTCAGCTGGAATACTGTCACCTCCACTAGCTTTGTTGTTGCTCAGACTTCCTAAGGCCCATTTAATTTCACATTCCAGGATGTCTAGTTCAAAGTCAGTGACCACCACATCGTGGTTATCAGGGATGTTAAGCTCTTTCTTGTATAGTTCTTCTGCGTAGTCTTGCCACCATTCCTTAATCTCTTCTGCCTTTGTTAGTTCCCTGCCATTTTGGTCCTTTATCATGCCCATCTTTGCATGAAATGTTCCCTTCATATCTCCAACTTTCTTGAAGAGATCTCTGGCTCTCCCTATTCTATTGTTTTCTTCTATTTCTTTGCACTGTTCATTTAAGAAGGCATTCTTATCTCTTCTAGCTATTCTCTGGAATTCTTCATTCAATTGGGTGTTTCTTTCTCTTTCTCCCTTGCCTTTCACTTCCCTCCTTTCCTCAGCTATTTGTAAAGCTTCCTCAGACAGCCATTTTGCTTTCTTGCATTTCTTTTTCTTTGGGATGGTTTTAGTTGCTACCTCTTGTACAATGTTGCGAACCTCCATCCCTAGTTCTTCAGGCACTCTATCAGATATAATTCTTTAAATCTATTTGTCACCTCTACTGTATATTCATCAGGCATATGATTTAGGTCATACCTAGTGCTTTTCTCCTAGTGGCCTAGTGCTTTTCTCTACTTTCTTTAAGCCTAAATTTTGCAACAAGAAGCTCATGATCTGAGCCACAGTCAGCTCCTGGTCTTGTTTTTACTGACTGTATAGAGCTTCTGCATCTTTGGCTGCAGAGCACATAGTCAATCTGATTTCTGTGTTGACCGTCTGGTGATGTCCATGTCTAAAGTCGTCTCTTGGGTTGTTGGAAAAGAGTGTTTGCTATGACCATCATATTCTCTTGACAAAATTCTACCAACCTGTGCCCTGCTTCATTTTGTACTCCAATGCCAAACTTGCCTGTTATTCCAGTTATCTTTTGACTTCCTGCTTTAGCATTCCAATCCCCCATGATGATAAGGACATCATTTTTGGTGTTAATTCTAGAAGGTGTTGTAGGCCTTCATAGAACTGGTCAACTTCAGCCTCTTCAGCACCAGTGGTTGGGGCATAGACTTGGACTACTGTGATATTGAATGGTTTGCCTTGGATTCGAACTGAGATCATTCTGTCATTTTGGAGACTGTATCCCAGTACTGCTTTTCCTACTCTTTTATTGACTATGAAGGCTACTCCATTTCTTCGGAGGGATTCTTGCCCATAGTAGTATACCTGATGGTCATCTGAATTAATTTCACCCATTCCTGCCCATTTTAGTTCACCGATTGCTAAGATGTCGATGTTCAGTCTTATCATCTCTTGTTTGATCACATTTAACTTGCCTTGATTCATGGATCTTACATTCCAGGTTCCTATGGAGTATAGATCTTTACAGCATCGAACTCTGCTTTCACCACCAGATACATCTGCAACTGAGTGTCCTTTCGGCTTTGACCCAGTCGCTTCATTCTTCCTGGCGCTACTAGTACTAGCCCTCTGCTAGTACTTCCCCAGTAGCATATTCGACACCTTCTGACCTGAGGGGCTCATCTTCTGATGTCATATCTTTTTGCCTTTTGGTACTGTCCATGGGGTTTTTCATGGCAAAAATACTGGAGTGGGTTGCCATTTCCTTCTCCAGTGGATAATGTTTTGTCAGAGCTCTCTGTTATGACCTGTCCATCTTGGGTGGCCCTGCATGGCATAGCTCATAGCTTCATTAAGCTATGTAAGCCCCTTCACCACAAGGCAGTGATCCATGAAGGGGTACCCATGTTTATTTGCTGCTTAATGCAACTGATCACTTTTCAAATTAAGGTCATCTTTTGTAAATGCTGCATTTCTAAATGATTTTGCATTTTGATTTAAGTTTTCATATGAAGTTCATCTGGAAAACTTAAATCATAAGTTATATAGGTTTATTTTTGTTTACATCTTTTACTGAGCATGTTCTGAACATATTATATTGCTTGTATTTGATAATCAACTTGAAAGACTTTAGTTCAAACTATGTTAAAATTAAATGTTACCCCTTTGTACAGGATATAGCAGGCACTTTTAATAACCTTAAGATGACACAAAATTAACTGGGATATCTTAGACAATAGCAAAATCAAAAAATTATCTTGATAGTTTAGAAAACTGGACAGAAAATAACCTAATGAAGTTCAACAGAAGCAAATGTAATGCTCTCAGGGTAGATAAAAGAAATCAAATCAAACAGGTATGAGATGAAGGATGTATGCATTGGCTATAGTACACACAATCTTGAGGTTTTAGTCACCCACAACCTGAATGTCAGTCAGCAGTGTGATGTGGATGCAAGAAACATAAATGCAATTGTAGATTGCATCAATAGAAGTATAGTTTCAAAATCATGAGAAATTCCATTCTATTGTGTGCTACTCAGACCTTTCCTCAAATATAGTGTCTATCTAGTTCTGGATACCATACTTTAAGAAAGATATACCTGGGTTGGAATGAGTTCAGGGAAGCGTCACAAAGAGTATCAGAGGACTAGAAACTAAGTCCTACATGGAAAGATTGAAGGAACTGAGTGTATGGTGGGCATGTCATGAGCGGAGCCGGCTGGAGCTGGGGGTCAGACTAGATGGCCCAGACTAGATGGAGCTGGGGGTCAGACTAGAGACCCCTTCTGACTTGGTCTGTTTCTATGTTTCTATGTATTTACCTTTGCAAAGAGATGTTTGGATTTTTTGGGCGGGGGGCAGGTATGATGCCACTATTGTGTCAGAAAGTTGTCAGAAAAAGATCGCATTCTGTTCTTTATCATTCAAGGCTGTAGGAGATGAAATAAAGGCCCTGTGATACAGAAAGGTAGATTTCAATTGAACATCAGGAATAACACCCTAACCATATCTATTGTAGAAGCTAGTCAAGCAGAGACTGAACAACCATCTCTCAGGGATGCTCTGAACTGGATTCCTGCACAGAGCAGAGTCTAGATTCAAAGGTCGAGCGCCCGCAACTGGAGTATTAAGTTCAGTTTTGGGCCCCTCATTACAGGAGGGATATAGCCAGGTTAGAGTCAGTGCAGCGTAGGGCCACAAGGTTGGTGGTCGGTTTGCAGGGGATGCTGTATGAGGCAAGACTGAGGAAACTTGGTCTCTTCAGCCTGGAGGAGACTCAGAGGGGATCTGTTGGCGACATACAGGTATGTGAGGGGAAGTCACACGGAGGTGGGTGGAGACCTGTTCTCCCCTGCAGATGAAGGCAGGATGCGCTCCAATGGAGCAAAGCTCAGGGAACCAAGGGTCAGTTTGGATGCCAGAAAGCACTTTCTGACATTTAGGACCCCAGGGGTGTGGAATGGGCTTCCACAGGAGGTGGTTGAGGCCTCATCGGTGACGGTGTTCAAAGATAGGCTGGATATGCCCATGGTGGGCATTTCATGAGTGGAGCTGGCTGGAGCTGGGGATCAGACTAGATGGCCCGGGAGGCCCCTTCTGACTTGCTCTGTTTCTATGTCTATGCAGTTCCTTCCCATTTTTATGATTTCACTTTGAAATACTCTCAGTTATATATATATACACATGCATGTCAATAAACACATGCATTCTAACAAACATTAGGTTAGTGAGAACATTAGCAGGAAAAAAATCTGTATGCAGTGAATTAAAGCAAGGTGGCTCTTAATGCATCACCATCAAAGGCTCAATGTCTTTTTTTCCTTTAGTGGTTCCTGTTCTTCAAATGACACCTGGGTTCAAATGACACCACATTCCACCACTGGTGACTAGCCACCATGAGTTCTCATGTCATCTGAGTGTACAGTGCTTATTTTTTCACAATCACCCATCCTGATAACTCATACCTTGTACTAAAAGCTTCTTGAGCCATGATAGGTTGTTATGGCATCAGAACATGGGACAGCAATTTCATTGTGGGTTGAGGGGATCATCAAAGAGCGGCAACAACTCGTACCAATCTTCATGATTTTGCCCTTGCTGCCACTAATGCCCAAGTAGCAGTTTGGAGTGACCATCACTGGTTTACCACTCTTTTTTCCCCAGTCCTAGAAAATTGCAAATGTGTATTTAATGGACCTACAGGAATTGCAATAATAAGCATTCTCAAATGGAGCCACAAAAAGTATATGGAGAGTTAGTATCTCCCATTCCTAAAGCAGCTGGTAACTGAGAGAAATAAAGAAAAGGTAGAAGTCAATGAGAAATATTAGCTCAATACTTAAAATCAAAAGGATTATAGTGCTGAGTGGAAGATACTGTCTGCCCATCCCACACATTCTCTTTTGGTGCAGCTACTTCTAACACTCTCCCCCACCATCATTTTCAACTGCTCCCTGTCATCTATGTGCAAATTAGACTATACAGCTTATCAATTTCTGTGTATGTTACATTTCATAACTGAAATATACAAGGCAATTGACCAAGAAGGAATACATAGACAGCTGGAAATACATACTTCCACATTTGAGAGCCAGTGTGGTGTAGTGGCTAAGAGCATGGGACTGGGACTCAGGCGATCTGGGTTCGAGTCCCAGCTCGGCCATGGAGCCAACTGGGTGACTTTGGGCCAGTCACAGTCTCTCAGCCCAACCTACCTCACAGGGTTGTTGTTGTGGGAATAAGATGGAGGAGGAGAGATGATGTAAGCTGCCTCGAACCCTTTGTAGGAAAAAGGCAGGATATAAATCGCAATAGAAAAAAAGAAAAATAAATCAATCAATAAATAAATAAAATATGCAAGGGAAAAAAAGATCAACAGTAGCAACAGTGCTAATGCAAAATCACAACTGAGCAATTTTCTGGGGCTGAATGTTTTGAAATATACAAACTGATTTGCACATTTCTGAGATTTAAAAAAGTTGGTTTTTTTTCATCAGGGAAAGAAAAAAAGTTAGAGATCAGGGGACACAAGATGATACCTGGGAAACCAACAGGAAAATAGGAGAACAAGCTACAATGAGTTTGATCATCTGTTCAATCATGGTTTGTTCTACCAACTGGCCATATTGTGTAGCTTATTTGCATGGTGCTTAATATGTGGTGCAAATGACACCATTCTTATATATCAAGAACAGGAAGCAGGCAAACATAATGTTTAAGTATTATTAGAAATCAAGTTCTAAGTTAGCTCTCAAAAATAATAAAATATGTGGTATATTTTATATTGTAGTTTATAATCTGCAGTGCATATCACTAATTTTTGAGCAGTGTTATACAATTAAATACAATACGGATGAAGATTATGGCTAGTAGATGTTTATATGGTAGAATTAAAGCCATAGCTTATTTTAACAGAAACCTACTTCAGTATCAAACCTTAATTAAATTTTATGGGCTTAACAGATCTAGTAAATGGAAGTGTTACTAATACTGTTTATTTACCATTCTACAGCACAACAAAGGAATGCTATATTTTTTCAGTTCAACCAACATATCCTTGAATATCCTTTAAAAATGTAACTGGTATATAATGATTCAAGTATTAATTTATCATTATAGTGTTATTAATATGTTAAAGTAATTGCCTATTTAGGTTCAGAAGAAGCACTCCATTCTTTTAATTTTAAGAACAGCAGCAGCTCAATCTTTGATGAATAAAAATATTATGAATATTGTTCAAATGTACTATTTAATTATTTATTAATATTAATATATTATACTTATCTGCATGCTATAATGTATTCAAAATGATTTTAATGTTAATGTTCTTCTGTGCATGTTAAAATTTCTTTATTTGGAAAAAGAACAAAAGTACAGAAAGCAAACATACATTACAGAGGGAGGGAGAAAATTCGGTTAACTACTACTTTGAATACTAAAAGAATAACTAGTATCACAAGCCTTGCTACTGAGTGTTGCAAAAAAACAAAAACAGTTACCTGGATTCTTCTGTCAATTTATCTGCTCAGTTCCATATTCCTACCATTTATCATCCTAAAACAGAAAATGCTATTGAAAGGTTTCAGTACACTTAGGTATCTAGCTTTAATAATCTTTAGAGCATTCATACAATCTTGGTGTAATCCAGTGTTTAAGACCTACCAGAATCAATGCGATGTAAGGATCAGTTGTGCATTAAATGAATTTTTATGGAGAATACTATATATTTTCTTCATTTGGTTTGCACTCTTTTTTGTGCAAAGAGATTCAACCTTCCATAAGACAGCATCTGCAATAATAAGCATTTGTTTGCATAACTAGCTTAAGCAATGTGCTTTTTAATTCTTTCTCCCCACCTTTTTTTAGATTTTTCCACATCACCCAACAAAACCAGAAAAAATAGGGAGATAGCAAGACCTATGACAAGTTAGGTCATGGTCTAGACCACTGCAAATGTAGCTCTGATATGTCATTTCTTGACTAAGGGTATATTTAAGAAAATCTAAAAAGCTTTCCATGCCACATAACAAAGGAAAGGAATAGTCAGGCTCTACATTTTATGATGAGACTTCCTCATATGTACCATTGCCTGCAATAAATGTAGTCAGACCTTTAAAATGCATTTCTCCAATTCTTCTGGATATACTTGCAAAAATATACTGGTAGCTAAAGGTACCAGAGGCATATTTGGCAGGAGGATGTCTGCAGTATAAGAGAGGCCTTGGCATTAAAAGGCATCTGGCCTAGATAGGTCTTTTCAGTCTATACTTTTATGCTTATGAAGTCCATCTGTCCTTCATCATAGTAATTCTGCCTTTCCTTCTTAAATGCCAAAATGAAAGGACTGAAGGGCCTGCGGATCTGAAGAGGTTCGCCAGCTCCACACAGATTATGCAAACAGAGATATGCAAAAAGCTAATTAAGGTATCTATGAAAATAGTCAGCCAAGTTAATTTGGTGTCAAGGCCTTGGCATCAAGGATTGCTTTGCAATCATCCTCATTCCTACATCAACTTTTCCTTGTTACTCTGCAAGTTAGCTGCACGTAATATAAAAATCCTGCTGCCTTCTAACTTTACCAGAAATAATAATTCACAATATACCTAACCTTTCCCCTAAATCAGCATTTTTTATACTTTTTTGTTTTCCCTTTAAAAGAGTTGCTACAGATGCTACAAATTCATATACCTGTGTGTGCCCTGGGATCATCTTCAGGAGTCCCAGAAAAAGTAAGTGAGGCTGTTGTGGTGTGGTGGTCCGATTGCTGGACTGTGGACCCAGGAGATTGGGATTTTAGTCCCCACTTGGCCATGACAGTCACTGGGTAACTTTAGGCCAGTCCTATCAGCCCAACCTACCTCAGAAGTCTATTGTCTGGAGGATAAAATGGATCTGTGTAAGCCACTTTGAATTCCTCACAAGAGGAAAAAGGCAAGGGTATTAATGTAATGTGTTAATAATAGTGGCTACTAAGGTGGTTTGGTTTTTTTTTTCTTTTTTGGCAGCATCACGGTTGTAGAATGCTCTCCCTAGAGAGGCTCACATGGCACTTATGCTATGCTCTGTTCAGCACCTGGTGAAGGCCTTATATTCTCAAGCATTTTAGTTTCTCAGTTGTTGATGTTTTTAAATGTTAGTATATATTTAAGTCTTTACAGTGCTGCTGATTTTTATGTTAGTTTTGTAATGTAGTTTTAAAAGTTTGTATTTTATTGTGTTGTGTTTTTAATTGTTGTTAATTACCCAGACAGCTTTGGCTATTGGTATTAAAAATGTAAAAAATAAATATATCAGGACAGTAAATTTAACTTAACAGAAAAAGCACCATGTGAAGAAATCAGAAGGTGCCCAAAGATATCAACAAAAACTGAAAATGATGGGGAAAGGGGAAAAAAAGACCCTCCAGAATTGGTGCAGGCCATCAGACATTAAGCAAAATCCCAACTATTTCTGTGGTATTCTAGCAATGCATCCACATTGACTAGTTACCTCATGGAGCTTGTCCTGACATCTTATGAAGCAAATGCAATTCTACAGTAATGTTCAACTTGGTGTCCAAAGCAAGTACAAGAACTGGAGGAAACTTGACCTACTTTGTCTACCAAACAAGTAGGTCAACACTGCCCTCCCCTTCTCCCAATCACCAGCTACAAGGGGCAACATGTGAAAATTATTTTGCAAAAACCATGGCATAAGTTACTTCATCATGCTCAATATGGATGGAACTAGGAAACAAAATAATGGTCTTTAAAATGCATTTCTATGCAGATTGAAAATTAGTAAATGCTCCAATTGTAGCAAAACTAAATGATACCTTGAAAATGCTGTTACAGTCCCATTTTTCTACCTACTCTTGCTCTACTTATAATAGGAGTAATTTCTGAGGGAGCCCTATGTGCACCGTGAAAAAATCTCACTTTGTCTGGATTTGATCTACCTAGTATATGCTTGCTAAACAAACAGAATGTGACTGTGTTAATTCTGGAATATGATGTGAACTTTTAAAACTGGACAACTGGCAACTTTACTGCTGTGGTTACTATATCCCTATGGCAGGACATTTAAAAATGTACACACACTAAACTCCAGGAGAAAACAAAACTGGTATTAGAAAGTAGGTGCCACAAGTCAAAGTTCTGAGCAAAATGTACATAGGATCACACCGTAAACTTTAATTTTGTACCGTATTGCTAGGCTTTGTTACTACTGTAAGTAATTACTGAGGCTTATGAAATATATTATTTTGTTAAAAAAATGCACTTTTCATTTAGAAGGTGGAATTTCATTAAATATTGATTCATCCTCTGTACACATCCTTGAATGTAAGCCCCACTAAAGATAGTCGGAATTTCTTTAAATACCTTGAGGGTGAGGTTGCAGGAGCCTTCCCTAAACCTTACCTTCATTTTATAACTCCCTGCACCCCTCAGATTCAAACTATCCATTTTGTGTAACAATCATAGGAGTGGGAAGAAAAGTGCTCATAAATGCTGATAAAGGTTGAAGGGATATCAAATCCTGATAAAGGGGAATACTGAGAAAGGATCTCCCATCAATGAAAGCAACAGCATTCATTCCTCATCAGGAAATTTCAAATAGCTTCCAATCTCCGTCGACTTATTTTCATGTAAATTCTTCTATAAATCCAGGATGAGGATTTATAATATAGCTAGTTAGATTTCTATATCATTTTAAAGAGAGGAGGTGCCCCCCCCCATAAGAAAGAACATAAAATAGCAAATCCGCAGCCTCCCCCGCCCGTTGCGTTCCATGACAGCGTGTAGCCCCGCCTCAGTCTGGCCCTTCCTCCAACCTCTCCTAACCTAAAAAACAATACTAACCTCTAACCTGGCACTGGTCCGTTCATTCAAAAGCAAACACAATTTGCCCGGCTTTTCCCGCCTGCCCCGCTCCCCGCAATCGTTTCTCATATCTTAACTCTCCCAACCCTTTCCCCCCTCACTGTAATTCAAATCGCTGTCTCGGTTCCAGCTTCTTTCACCTTGAAATGACACCAAAGTTCCACATTGATCTAACGTGGCAACGCTCACAAGCGACACCTTTGCAAATACGTTTTCTGCCTTTGCAAAGTGAGGCTGCAGACTTGAACAGGCGGGGGTGTCGACGGGGGGACGGCGATTATACAATAAGGCTTGTCCCAAAATGCTGTAACAGCCAAAACTCCAGTGAGAAGGGAGTTCCTTCTACGCAAAATTAACAGACTAGCGCTAGCAGAATGGAACAGGCAGCTTTCAAACCCTGCAGCTGCAGGAGGAAAAAAAGCAGAGTTTTTTAAACGGCTGTATTTTTCCACCTCGTCTTATTTTTTCTGGCTAAATCTTCAAAACTGAATTATTCTGATTATGAACACATGCAAACACCCTACTATACACCTCTTTCTCTGTTATGAATTCCACGCACACCATTTTCTTCTCCATTTTGAAGATTCTTGAAATTTCGTCCTTTCCTTGTACAACTTATTTTTCAATTGCATCTTGCTCATTAAAGCAACATGACATACGTATGGCCACAAGTATGATGGGTATTTCACAGAATTGGGGAAGGCAGAAAAGGAGATATAGCATCCCCCCACCTAAGAGCAATCATCTTAATTATCCCACTGCAGCAGATGCTTGCTGCCAAAGCCCTTTCTGACATTAGCGAATTGCAGTTTCCTATTAAGGT